CAAACTGTAAAATATCAAACAAAAACGTGTGTGCCGATATTTCAATGGCTTGAAAAATACGCTTTTAAAAAGTATTTTTAGTGCATTGTACCATGGTACGAAGCATACGTAAATACCTGAATGAAAGAAAATAGCCTCACAGAAAGCAAGAAGGACGCTTACACTGTGCCGCTGGGTGAATACACTCCACTTGCAGGTATGGCGTTGGCCAGAAGTTCTTCAAATGATAAATTTGAGCCGGTTTCAGAGGCATATTTTTGTGATACATGTTGTAAGAACATAGAGTATGGTTGTATTATTAAGCGTAAACAGCTTAAAAGAAATTTAAGGATGTGCAACTCTGTGGAAAACAACAAATACGAGTCCCTGTCTCTTATACACATCTAGATGTGTATAAGAGACAGATATATATATATATAATCAAAGAAGCTGCATAGGCAGCGTGACAAGATATAAAATTAAAAAAAACACGGTTGTGATCTGCCTCAGTAGAAATTTATTTGACACGACATGTTTCGGGCATAGCCCATCATCATGTATGAAAAACTGTGAGATAAATTTGTAGCAGTACATTAACAAAAATATAACGTGATCATCTAATCAAAAAAACAGATAATAAGCAGTCTACCGGGCTCATGCGTCTAAATAAACAAAGAACATAAATAAAACAATAGAACAAAATGGGGCAGGCACCGAAGTAGAGTCAAAATAGACACACCTTAGAGAGCGTTAACCAAGTATTATATGGTGTAAGAAGTATTGTACAATGTAGCATAAAATATATGAATAAAACAGGCGTAGTAACCAATAATGCGTGTTACATCTAAAAATTATGCCCTCTGATAATTAGTATTATACCCTCTGATAAATGAGTCAAAATGGACACACCTTAGAGAGCGTTAACCAAGTTTATCATGTAGTGCTTGTATCACTTGACCCTCTACTGACTTTCATGTTGGAGATAATATTATTTGTACCACCAGGAATCTCATTTACTGTGTTCATTGTATAAAATGTAACATGTTATATATTGGTGAAACCAAGCGTAAATTGGGAGATAGATATGGGAAAAATTTCCGTTCTATAAGACTTAAAACACCTAGACTCCCAATTGCTGCTCATCTCTCTAATAACCACACACTTTCTGATATAATAGTCGGATGTAGGAAAATATGACCCCGGTAAAAATGACCTGGATAAAAATGGCCCCGGTAATAATGGCTGCGGTAAAAATGGCCCCGGTAAAAATGGCCCCAAATGACAAGTAGGCAAAAATGGCCCCAATGAAATAATTCAGTGATAGAAATAAATTTCTTTTTTTAATCTTCAAATATTTAAATACTGTAAAATAGCAAGTATTGAATCAATAAATAAAAAATGACCCCAATTATAGAATTCAATAAATAAATAAATTTTTAAATGCTGTAAAATACTCGGTAGCAAAAATTGAATTAATAAATCAACAGAAACCATATGCATATTTGAAAACTAAAATAACTTAGTTTTTAGCTGATTGATTAATTAATAGATCTTTTTGTATTGGAGGCTGTAACAGTTATGGTTAAGTATTTATTATTATTATTATTATTCTCTTTTTCTTTAAGAACAAAAAAAATAATTTGATGTTCATATCAACCCATTTATGAGGAGTTTAGCAATACCCGGATTGAATTTCTGGAAAATTGTGATTGCGTGAAATGGGCCACAAATAAATTATTTTAGTATTAATAAATGCGTGCAATATGTTTATTTTTTTGATTAAATTGTTGCTATTTCTTAACATTTAAATGGAAAAAAAAGTGTTATCATGGCTTCTTTTTTTATCTTTGAATATGTAATTCCTGCAAAAAGTAAAATATAAATGGCTATTTATTTGATATTAGATTCTTTTTAAAAACTAAATTATTTCAGTTTAAAATAAATGTGTATAATGAATTAAAAAAATCAATTTTAATACAGAATTTTATTATTATTTTTATTTTTACCTACCTGTCATTTAGGGCCAATTTTACCAGAGCAATTTTTACCAGAGCCATTTTTACCGGGGCCATTTTTACCGTAACGACATAATGGTCACCGGCGTTAAGATTTGTAACAGTAGGGTAAGAATGCTTTGATCTTCAGTTTATTCATAGCTATGTTACCTACTAGGGGTAATGTTTTGATTGGTCAAACACTTTTGGTACTTGTTTGAATTGGTCCAACACTTTTGGTACTTGTGCATATAAGCTTGCAAATATGGATAATTTTTTATTCCTGATGATGACATAATTAATGTCGAAGTATTGAATCCCGACACGATGCCGTACATTTCGATACTTGGAGTATATATCATTGTAAATCCACGTGTGTTCTTCAAATTATATATAAGTCGTTGAAACAAAAAATTATGACAACAAGGCATGTAGACTGTAGAACACTTCATTTATTTTCGAAAGAAATTTTCGACCTGTCATCTGGCCTTCATCAGCTTTACTGAATGTACAAGTTGGCTGTTACAAGTTCTATACTGTACAATATGAACAATACAATAGAGGTGTAGACGGATTATAAGCCAATTATCTAATAGTTTATGCGGTAATATATAAAGAGAAATCCGACAGAGAACAAAGCGGTCAAGTATAGATATATACATTTATTTACAGGACTACATTCGTTGAGAGCTATGCTACACGATGTATTATGTCCTTTATTCGAACACTGTATATATATAATGTGTGTGTGTGTGTGTGTGTGGGCGGGTGTGTGTGTGTATGTATGTATTATATCTTGCTTTCAAGGTGCTGCCACCATGTTCATTGTGTTTTTTTGATATGGAAATAAATGTCATTTAATCTGAATCTACTAATCATATAACCAGACTATACAAAGAAACCTGAACGATTGCTATCTGTAATGTATATAGCCCCGGTTCTTAATTAATTTGTTTGAAGAGCAAAATTATTTTTAAAGTTGACAAAGATAATCTGCTGTTTGTTGAAGGCAATCGTTATACATCTGTGTGAAACTCTTTCCTCCAAGATAGGTCTATTTGAATGGGTTTTTTATATTTTTTTTTATTAGGTCGCTTTACCCATTTAATTGATCACAATAGAAAAGCCTAGTTTAAACGTCGGCCTATTTTTTTTTAATACAAAACGTGTTCCGCTTCTTGTGGTACACAAAATTGTTATTATCCCTGTAAAGTAAAGAATGCTATTGACAAATCACAGTGAACAAAGGAAAACACTAAGATGAACTTGGCTGCACAAAAGTCGGTGTATATTCTATGATTTGAAAAGAATGCTATTGAAGAAACACTGTGACACAGAAGAGTACAGTATGACTCGCATTATTTGTAGGAGAATCGAAATATATTTTTATGAGGAATTTTTATTTATTTATTTATTTTTTATTTTTTTGGTTAAAATTAAGTACAAATGTTACAGACGATAAAACCCAATAGACGTATTCAGTTCAAAATAACCTCAGTTTAGTTATGTTTACCTCTATGTTTTAACAATGGGATTCTTCTTCTCCTTTGAGTCTCAAACCAAGCTATTATAATTTTCCTTTTTAATGAAACTGAATTTTAAAATTATTTTGTATAGTTCATCATTGTTTACGTGACGCTATTATTGAATAAATATAATGAAAACAACTCTGCAATCATTACAATTTTAACACATCGCCTGGGTTACTAGGTCGAGTCAATAGGAATACCAATCCTGGGAATATATTTTTAGTTCTGTTTACAGGGTTTAATTTTAAATATGAGTGGTGTAACCCCTACATCCTAACTCGTTTGTGCTTTTTTTTTTTTTTTTTTTTTTTTTTTTTTTTGCTTTTTGCTTGTTGGAAGTGAAGAATAAGACCAAAGAAAACAACGAGTGATCGATTTTGGCGCTAGTTATTCTACTTATGGCCTACATTATCTTCCTCATTTTATTGTTATTTCGTTTTTCCTCGAGGGTCAAATTAAATTGCCTTGCCAGCCAAACTTGACTCGTGAACCATCTAGAAGAACCAAGATTTTCAACAACCTTTAACAATTTTCTTATTGGATTCATATAATACGAGGCAGGCGCGGATTAATATTCATTCAAACTATCGATATTTGTTTTCAATTAATAAAAATAATCTGACTTGGATTTTCAAATTAATTTTTACTCGTGCATTTGTTTCTAAATGAATGATTATTTAAGGCGTTTACATAATCTAATGATATCAGGTGTGATCCATTTCATTTTATTTAGCTTAAGTAAATAAAAATAATATACAAGATAATTGTTGACATTTTTCATTGGTTAATCTAATAAAAAAAAAACATCAATTCAATACAGGACAACAAACCAAGTAGTAGTCTCAAACCAAGCTATTATAATTTTCCTTTTTAATGAAACTGAATTTTAAAATTATTTTGTATAGTTCATCATTGTTTACGTGACGCTATTATTGAATAAATATAATGAAAACAACTCTGCAATCATTACAATTTTAACACATCGCCTGGGTTACTATGTCGAATCAATAGGAATACCAATCCTGGGAGTATATTTTTAGTTCTGTTTACAGGGTTTAATTTTAATTCTGAGTGGCGTAACCCCTACATCCTAACTCGTTTGTGCTTTTTTTTTTTTTTGTTTTTTTTTTTGTGATCGATTTTGGCGCTAGTTATTCTACTTATGGCCTCATTATCTTCCTCATTTTATTGTTATTTCGTTTTTCCTCGAGGGTCAAAATAAATTGCCTTGCCAGCCAAACTTGACTCGTGAACCATCTAGAAGAACCAAGATTTACATAGTAGGCCTACGTCAGCAACCTTTAACAATTTTCTTATTGGATTCATATAATACGAGGCAGGCGCGGATTAATATTCATTCAAACTATCGAACATGTTAAATCATAGTTTAAGCACGGGTATAATATTTTATCAGTGATGCATACAATGCTTATAATAAAAGCATATTATGTGAACAACACAGTCAAACTTGGTGCGTTGTATGTTAGTCGTCGTGAAAATGGAGGTGTCGTTGAATATCAGCTATGCCAGTTCGAATCAATGTTCTCCTCTCATTGGACTTACGTTGCATCAGCTGCTTGAGAAGAGGGTTAATGAACATCCAGATCGTGAAATGTATGTCTTTCCCGAGGATGGCGAGAGAATCACATTCAAAGCTTTTAAAGATCGGGTATGTAAAAAGATCAGAGTGCCCATTTGTAGCACGATTGCTTTGGCAAAATTTGGACCCCCGTAGCATGCAGCATTTAATAATAATAATAATAATAATAATACAGGCAATAGAAACGTACTGTAGCATCATAAATTGGCAGTGACGTGAATTTTTGTAGTAAGAAAATAGATTGCAAAAAAATTCTGTAGGTGCCATTTTCGGACTATTTCTCACCTCATGCCAACCATTGTAGGCTTGGGGAACAATCCACCTGTCGGGGAACGAGGACATGTCTGCTGCAGCCACTCCAAAATCAGCAAAAGGTCAATCCTTACATGTTTAGAAAAATACCTGTTTTACTTTTTTGGGTAGGATGCGTGGGAAGTAAAATATTATATACTGCATCAAATAGCCTATTTCCGTCCACCCCTTCATTAAAACCTCGGTCTTCCCATGCTAACACTTCAATAGGCCTTTTCACGAATCGGTAGAAATCTTGAAGTGATGACAAACATTGCGAATCAGCGGTGCGTAACTAACAGCAATAAAATAAGCTTTTGGGCTGATTTTCTGACATCATGTTGTTTAAAAAATCATAACTCCATAACGGGGCGTCGTATCCAAAAAATGTTTCCACGAAAATGTTCTTAAAAGACCAGTCTACACCACTATATGTCAAAGTTCTCCTCTCATTGGACTTACTTTGCATCAGCTGCTTGAGAAGAGGGTTAATGAACACCCAGATCGTGAAATGTATGTCTTTCCCGAGGATGGCGAGAGAATCACATTCAAAGCTTTTAAAGATCGGGTATGTAAAAAGATCAGAGTGCCCATTTGTAGCATGATTGCTTTGGCAAAATTTGGACCCCCGTAGCATGCAGCATTTAATAATAATAATAATACAGGCAATAGAAACGTACTGTAGCATCATAAATTGGCAGTGACGTGAATTTTTGTACTAAGAAAACAGATTGCAAAAAATTCTGAAGGTGCCATTTTCGGACTATTTCTCACCTCAGGCCAACCATTGTAGGCCTGGGGAACAATCCACCTGTCTGGAAACGAGGACATGTCTGCTGCAGCCACTCCCAAATCAGCAAAAGGTCAATCCTTACATGTTTAGAAAAAAACCTGTTTTACTTTTTTGGGTAGGATGCGTGGGAAGTAAAATATTATATACTGCATCAAATAGCCTATTTCCGTCCACCCCTTCATTAAAACCTCTGTCTTCCCCTGCTAACACTTCAATAGGCATTTTTCACGAATCGGTAGACATCTTGAAGTGATGACAAACATTGCGAATCAGCGGTGCGTAACCAACAGCAATAAGATAAGCTTTTGGGCTGATTTTCTGACATCATGTTGTTTAAAAAATCATAACTCCATAATTTGAAAAAAATTGAAAAATTTTTTTGACCTCTGAAATCAAGATTGAAAAAGAAAAGCCTATCTTAGTAGCGTATTAAAATAGGCAAATGCATTACAGTGCAGTAGCATAGGACTTTCGTGTTGTTACTGTTCCAAGTAGCGATAATATTAATATACATATTTCTCTTATTACAAAGTACAAGTTATGTTTTATAAAGAGGTATAGTATAGTAAATCATGTTTTTAACACAGGAAACTCTCATATGGTAACTAAAACTATGCAAGGAAAGAAAAGACACGACATTGATCAGAAAGTTCAGAGTATTACAAGTACTACAGCACTGTAATGCATATACCTATTTTAATACACTACTGAGATAGGCTTTTATTTTTCAATCTTGATTTCAGAGGTCAACAAAATTTTTCTTTTTTTTTTTCAATCATATAGTGGTGTAGACTAGTCTTTTAGGAACATTTTGCTGGAAAATTTTTTTTGGATACGACGCTCCGTTATAGAGTTATGATTTTTTAAATAACATGATGTCAAAAAATCCCCCCAAAAGCTTATCTTATTTCTGTTGGTTACGCACCGCTGATTCGCAATGTTTGTCATCACTTCAAGATGTCTACCGATTCGTGAAAAAGGCGTATTATGAGTAAATCACCAGAACAATATATAATAATAAAATGGCGTTTTTAAAATGATTCTTCCAGGTTGAAAAACTAGCTGCTGGACTGTTATCCATTGGGATAAAGAAAGGCGACCGACTGGCATTGTGGGGCAACATCCATATGGAAACCGTACTGTTTGTTGCTGCAGCAAGATCCATCGGCGTTATTACAGTATTTATGCAACGACATTTCTAGTGGATAGGCCTATAATTTATACAAAATTTAAATAGATTGTATGCTTAGTTTGTTTTATTGACATTATTTACATTATTGTTTACAGGTACGCATTTTGCCGGCTTTCCCAAATACCAGCGTGAAAGATATTTTGCTTCAAGTGAGTATATTTTATTTCCATTTCCTTCATATCGGTAGACAGACTATGAATAATGTATGATCAGCATTTAATCAGAAAATAGACCTTTTCCATATGAGGGAGTTTTCGGTTTACGTGACAACGTTATCCTCTGTGACTGTCCTTCAACGTGTTCCATGCACAACGTAATGATTTGAACTGGGCGCTGATTGGGGCATTTGCTATTTTGTCGACAAAATATAATTTTGTCTCGACAAATTGCTATTTTGTCGACAAAATTTATTCTGTTCATGATTTTGTATGACAGAATTTATTTTGTCACTGTAAAATGCTATTTTGACGACAAGATGGTATTTTGTAAGACATAATTTATTTTATTACCACAAAATGTTATTTCTGTAGACAAAATGACTGTGTAGACGACATAATTCATTTTGTCGACAGAAGCACCTTTTGTGTGAGACGGAACGCCTCTTCTTAGTTTTAATGACGCGCTGATAAAGCTTTGTGCTGCATTCCATCGTTTGCACTTTGTTAATTAATGGTGGTGACGTCATCTGTGTGTCGAATAGCGAGGCTGTACTGTAAATTTCTGTAAATCAAGGTCAGACTTCATTTGCAAAGTAATTTATTTGAGAATATAATTTATAAATAAAAAATTTAAAATAAGTTAGTGTGTACTACATTTTTGACTTGAGTAATTTTTTATCGCTGTACATTTTTTAAAAATTTGATTTTAAGTTGTGATTTTAAGATTGAAATCGTACTTGTTCTTAGCTAGGCCATCCAAGGTCCAGGGGTAACGATACACAATCCTACAATAATGAACCAACTAAATACTTCCCAATGTGGCCTCTATTCTTTTGACTATAACTATATGCTATATTATGGTTATGACTAACATAAATGATTAAATAGAATCGTTTATTTTAATCACCAAGACAAATGAATGTCCCAGGGCAATCCGTCAGGCAGGCTAGGCATACACCGCCGCTGCACACTATCTATTATGCATATAACCTCGTTCTGTCTCACACAAAAGGTGCTTCTATACACAGAATATAATTTTTTTTTTGTGACAAAGTGACAAAATAGCACTTTGTGGCTACAGATTAATTTTGCCTCAGAAAAAGCTATTTTGTCAACAAATAGCGTTTTGGTGACAAAATAAATGTTGTCTTACAGTACAAAATAGCATTTTGTCCACAAATCATTATTTTATACAGTACAGAATACATTTTGTAGACAAAACAGAATTTTATCCCAATAAAATGCTAAAATAGCATTCTGTCTCAACAAAATGGTATTTTTGTCGGCAAAACTGTGGCGCCCCGTAGATTTGGGGCACTCAAAACGATAATCCAGCGTCCCCGCGACGGGCATTGAATTCTATGTGACGTCATGTTCCAGATTTTACTTCGTCAGTGGCGGATCTAGGTTCACATTTATTTGGGGGGGGGGGTGTCAGACTTTTTTTCATAAAAACGCCAAAAAAAAAAGAGGGGTCCGGGGTTCCTCCCCAGGGAAAAGTTTGATTCTTAGATGGCGGGAAATGAGCTTCCCAGACTTCTGAGGTGTCTTTTAATGACACCTCAGAAGTCTTTAAAATTCAAGGTTTTCCCCCTCTTGAAAACGGTCAGTTAATCCTTCTCATTCACATTACGTAAATAAGCCTACTTATGTGTGTATACGTACATAAAAAAAAATTGAGTTGCTTACGTATTCTTTTTTCTCCATGAATGGATAACCCCCAACTTCTGAGGTGACTTTTAATGACTTTTAAGTTCTTTAAATGTTAAGGTTTTCCTCCGCCTGAAAACGGTCGGGTAAACTTCTCATTCTTATTACTGTAAATACTAGTAGCCCTACTATGTGTGTATGTCCAGTACATAACAAAAATAGAGTCGCTGCATACATTTTATTTTTAATTAAATCGATGAACCCCAAATAAAGACGGGGTCTGGGGGTCCTCCCCGGGAAAATTGTGGTTCTTAGATGGCGAGAAATGAGTTTTGCCGACTTCTGAAGTGTCTTTTAATTAAAATTCAAATTTTTCCACTTTTGTAAACGGTCTGGTAACTTTTTCTCATTCTTATTACAGTAAATAGACATACAGTATGTGTGTACCTGTACACAAAGATTTTTTTTTCCAAGGGGGATCAGGACCAACTGACCCTCCTTCAGATCTGCCAATGGTCGTGCAATTGAAAGAATCAATGCATAAAATGTATCACATTCATTCACATCCATTCATCAACCCCGGAAAGACGATAGCTTGGGCCTTAATCTCTTTCATAGTTAATGTCATATTTCTATACAAATGTCGTTGCTAATAACTGCTATTGTTATTAATAATATTTAATTATGATGATGATGATGACTATGATGATGATGATGCTGATAATACATAATATATATTATTAACTACAACATTAAATTATGCTTACATTATTTTTTAGCATTGTTATTTTCATTAATTCATTGTATTTTTTAAATGTATTTACAATTTACATTGAAATTTTCAAGAATCTTTATTTTATTTGTATTATTGTATATAATATGGTAGGCCTATTATAATCAAACAGTCAGTCAGTCTTTCTATCATTCCATCAATCAATCACATTTTATACCACATATAATTGTTATGATAAACATAAAGCGTATGATTATTAGTAGTTATCATAATCGCCTGTACAATCATATGTGACCCGAGACCACAAAAGGGCTGTAAACTCGCTTCACCAGTTTTCGAGAAAAGGGCCAAATAGACAGTATAACATGTAATTTGAGCAAAATGTGATTGTCATAAATATAAAGTATTACGGTACGTTTAATCTTACTATTTTTGAAGTTTGGATTCAATATTTCAACTATAATCCCTAAAATTTAGTAATTTTATGAAGGGCATGAGAAACGTATTTAAATTCACCAACTTTCAAACCGCCATACTTCGATTCCAAACAACTTATTAACCTGCACAAAATTCATGCCCCCAACTAGATAAATGAAAACTATCGGATAATAATACGTTTATGAGTACTCATATGCTATGTACAGTATGTGATTTCAGAATAAACAAACAGTATAGTTATAAAATAGTAGAATGGTCACAGAGCCAGGTTAGACCTACTGAGAACATTTCGGTTCTTTGCAATGAAGTAAATCTAAAACGTATTTATGAAGTAATTCAAAATCGTGTAAAAAAATATTTGAACAAACTATTTAAAGTATGTTCCGAACGTATTTGTAGTGCATCGTACTGTGGTACAAAGCTTACGTAAATGTATAGGCCTACCTAAATGAAGGAAATAGCCTTGAATTAATTCAAAGAATACTAAACTGGTCCATGACCTGTTGGAGATTTGGAAAACATGGAGGATAAAAATAGAAAACAATCCTTTTGCCCTCTGGCAGTGAAACGAATCATGTAGATGATGTAGATTGCGGTTGAGTACATGTTAAGAGACTAGTTGTGGTTATTGAAACTTTATAAAATATGACGCCAACAGAACAATCATCTGCACTATTTTCAGCGATGTGAAACTAAAACGTATTGAAGTATATTCACACAAGGTCATTCAAATCTACAAAATAGTTAAACAATAGTCGGCATTACAATTTCTTCAGAAATATATCTTCAAAAGTAATTTTCTAGAGCATAGCACCATGGTTCGGACTATCTTTAATACTAAATAAAGAAAATAATCTTCAAGTAATTCAAAAGATACAAAGCGGTTCATATCTTGTTTAAAAAAAAACAAATGATCTTGCAGAGAGGCAATTCATGATGTATGTCAAAATATATAGG